GCTAAGATAACGCCACGGTGCGGGGGGGGCGGGATACCCTCTCGTGGACCTCCCCCTAGGACGGCCGATGAAAATCAATTTCTAGAAGGGTTTTGAATGAGAAATCTCTTCCAAGAGGCCAGCAGATCAGAAGAGAGAACAGGAGGAGGAGGAGGAGGAGGAGGAGGAGAAGGAGAAGGAGGAGGAGGAGGAGGAGGAGGAGAAGCGGGAGAGGAGGAGGAGGAGGAGGAGGAGGAGGAGGAGAAGGAGGAGGAGGAGGAGGAGGAGGAGGAGGAGGAGAGGAGACGGAGGAGCAAGACAAGGAACATGAGCAGGAAAAGGAGGAGAAGCAGGAGCAGGGAAAGCTTCTTTGGGAAGGGTCCTCAGCAGGTCTCTCAGAGAGGTCCCGAAGCAGGCCTCTCAGACCTCCGAAGCAGACCTTTGAGCAGGTTCCTAAGCAGAAGCAGACGCAGGCCTCTGAGCAGGCTCCTGAGCAGGCGTCTAAGCAGGCTCCCAGGCAGGCCTCTTAGCACGCCTCGTTTTCCAGGGGCCAGGCCTCCGCGAATTTATTCTGTGTCCGGGTGCTAAACCTATCGTTCGGTTATTTCGGCCCCTCGGAACATCGAATAAAAATGCGGTGCTAAGATATCGCCGGGGGGGTTCTTAAATGCTTCCTCGGGTTATACCGAAGGGGGGGGGGGGGGGGGCGGAGGCCGAGGAAGAGGATGGCGACCTTCAGAACGAGGACGAGAAGGAGCTTGGCTGGGAGCTTGGTTGGGAGCAGCGGCGGCGGAGGAATACGCCGGTGACGCGGGCGCCAGCAGCGGCCGCACCACGACCGGCACGCCCCCCTGCGGCTCCTCGGAGGGCCCGAGCACGCCCCGCGCCAGTGGGCGCCGGCGGTGCGAGGCGCCGGCGGCCGCCAGCGCCGCCGCGTGGGAGGCAGACAGCGCTGTCGGCGCCAAAACGCCGCCGCCAGCGCCTTCGCCGCCGTGCGTCGCCGCCGCCAACGCCGCCGTCACCGACGCCGCCCTGCGGCCGCCGCCGTCGCGGTCCCCGCCGCCGCCGCGGCCGACGCCGCCGCCGTCGCCAGCGCCGTCGCCGTCGTGGCCGCTGCCGCTGCCGCTGCCCGCCGCGAGGCCTGGGCGCCCGCTCGGCGAGGGAGCTGCGGCCAGCGGGGCGGCGGGCCCCTGCGGCCGCGGGCGGACCGCGTGCGGCGGGGCGCCGAGGCCTGGCGGGGTCCTGGCTGGTCCGTCTCTCGTCGGTGCTCTCGGCACGGGGGCGGTACAGTGCCGTTTTTTGATACATGCTCCGCGTGCGGATCATATACAAAAAATGCAGGGATTTAGTACTAAAAACAAGGATGAGTTCACACATACATGTATTCATAAATGAACCATTATTAAAAATCATATATGTTTACAAATCCTATGTATTAAAAACTGCCCTGTATGCAGGAGCGGCGCAGAGGCAAAGATGGTCGGCACCGCCCAGACGTGGTTGCCTGTCTCGGAAGCGTGCCTGTCCCGCAAGAGCCGCGTGCACGCCCGGAAGTCCTGCAGTATATAGAAGCCCCGTGGTGCGCGCTTTCCGGCCATGCCGCTCGAGAAAGTATGTCTTGTAGCATTCGCGTGCCATACAGTGGGGGCGCGCAGCAAGAAACCATATGCTTTTCGTCAGGGTGTCCTGGGTTTCTTCGCTCCTCGCGCTGCGCGGTGGCTTCCCGCAGCCGCTGAAGAAGCTCCTGCGTTCAGGGTGCTCCAGGTTTCCCCTCGGGTGCACCTCGCGCACGGGTTCTCAGGGGTGGGTTTCTTGCGAGGGTTTCTTACGGCCGCGCCCGCATTGTATGTTCGTGTTGGACGTGCGCCTTCAACAACACATAGCACTGCATCGACCCCCAGTCGCCCATTCATCGCCGAGCGGGTCTCGGGTGACCCACCCCACCCAGATAGATGCGGTTTCGGTGTCGAGGGCCGATCGCCGATTCATCGACGATGTATCGCCGATTCTATGGCTTACGCCACACCGCCGATCCCTTGGGGGTCCCTGCTTCCCAGAGCGAAAGTCATCCAAAGCGTCCCGCCAGCCAGTGCGAGGAGGATGAGGAGTAGTAGGATCAGGATCAGTAGTAGTAGGAAGCAAATTAGGAAAACGTAGAGGCGGGGGATGCGGCGTATTGGTGACATGCTGGGAGCGTCAACCAGTAGCCTTCTGTGCTCGCGAAGAGACTGCCCCCTCTTTTCTGTCCCTCTCTCTTGGAGGCAGCTTTGAAGCTATGGTGGAGCCTTTGGAGCCTCTCGAGGGTCCTGTGGGTCTTTTGGGAGCCTCTTTGGGCCATCGGCCGTTTTGAGCGCCTCTTGGGTCGTTTTGGGGCCGTCTTGGGCCATCTCGGGCGCCTCTCGGGCCGTCTTGGGACCATCCTGGGCTGTGGCTGGCCCCTCTGAGGCCCCTCTTGAGATCATCTGGGACCATCCAGGGGGCGCATCTTGGGCCAGCCTGTGGCTGTCTGGAGCTGTTTGGGTCTCTCGAGGAGAGCGGTTGCGGTCTTGGGCTGATCTTAGAGGCTTCTGGGGCCGTCGTGAACGCTGTGAAGATGAAGAGGGCGAAGATGCTGAAAGGGTACGTTATCATAGGGAAGGGGGATCTTTTTTGTTTTTGTACAGGGCCCCTTTGGGGGTCCTCGTGGAGCTCTAGGGAGGCGCCCTGGAGGCTTCTCGGGTTGTCTTGAGGCCATATTGGGGCGTCGTGGCACCATCTAAGCCCACGTGGGAGCTTTTGCGAGCTGCTTTTGGGCCTCTCTGGGCCTGGTGGAGGGAGGGCTTCGGCGGCCCTCTGGGACGATTTCCGGAGCAGCCGGGGCTGCCAGACCTTTTGGCCAGACTACCTCCCCTCCAAGCCGACCGGACGGGGCCCCCGTGTGAGGGGTTGTGGGAAGGGGGAGGAGTCTCACACGCCGATTAGATAGACCCCAAGGTGTCCGCGAAATTCAAGTCAATGTTTCCTCCCCTCTGCGCCGGTGTACCCCCTGTTGCTCCCCCCCGCAAAAGCGGCAGCGGTTCCTCGAAAGAGAACGATCGGCATGCGCATGGAAACTTCCTGCAAGCTTGTTGCGCGTGCCACTCGCACGGGGTCAGGACGAGGATGCATTCGTTCCAGAGCGTTCTGGAACGCTCCCAGAGCGTTCCTGAACGCTCTGAGAAGGCCGTGGCGTTCGATACATCCTCCCAAACCGCCAGATCTCACAGATGTTATCCTCGTCCTCGCCCAATGTTATCCTCGTCCTGGCCCACTGTTATCCTCGTCCTCGCCCAATGTTATCCTCGTCCTGCCGTGGCGTTCGATTCATCCTCACCCAATGTTATCCTCGTCCTGGCTTGGGAATTCGGCTACACGTAAGCGTGGCCCCTCGCTGGGGTGGTCTCGGGTACGCGGGCCCGCAGGGGGTCCGCCCAGCACTCGTGCGCGTTTTTGGATCTGGCCGTCGCAGCACCCTGAAGCCGCCACCAAGGCTGGTCTTTCGAGTGGGGGATCGACTACAACATCGATTTTCCCCAAATTGATGTTTAGTCGAGTCCAGAGAAGAAGCGTAGAAGTGCTCCGTACATACATGGGACATTCTAAGTTTTTCTCGCAGATTCGACGGACAAATAATTCTGGGGTGCATCAATTCTGTAGTCGATTCCCCATTCGAGTCCTGGTGCGCAGCTTCCCGCCGCCACATCCATCTGGTAGCGGGAGCCGCAGCGACGATCTGCAACCGTGGATGTAAAAAGATAGTGCGGATCCGAGCTCGCAAGATTGGAATTCCGCCGTTCCAAGAGATGGAGCACGGCCCAGGCGGCAACAACCAGAGGTTGAAAAAGTGTCTCCGATGTTGGATATTCTATCGTACATTTCCAGGGGCAGCCGCCGATCCTGTCCAGCCGGGAACTCGGGGTTTTTGAATGGCGAGATTCCAATGTTATGAATTCACGCCGCCGGATTGGTTTCCATCCACGGCATCGTTCAGTGTCGCGATTCTGGCCAACGATGGGGCGTGCACATGACTCGTGGCTATAGTACTGCTCCGGAGCTTTCGATTCAAGTGTCCAGGTTCTCGTGGGTGGTGACGAATGCAAGTATCGAGGCTTGTACTTCTTTTCTGGGTCCTAGAGCGGTTGCATATGCGCGTCTGCGTGTGCACAGCCAGCGCACGCATCTACGCAGTGCGGGAGGGACGATGAGGTCGCCAAAGGCCATCGAAGCAATGCAGGTCAACTTGCATAGTCTTCCCTCAAGGGCCACTGTTGCCTAGGGTCATACTTGCTTGTCCCCGCGTGACGAAGACCGATACCAGTTCTTGCCCATTTTGAATAGGGCTTGCTGCGGGTGTTGCCGCTGCAGGTGTCCATTTGAGACAAACGTTGCCTACTCAACGTCGGCCGCTGCTGGTTTTGGACAAGTATTTGCTGTTGATCTTGGGCATCGTCCTGATTTGTTCCGTTCCTTGCTCGGGCGTGCAAATGTTCGGGGGACGTTCGAGGTTCGATGATCTAGGTTTTTGGTGGGCATTTTAATTTTGTTGTTGCCTGCTGGAGCCTGGAGCGTCGCTGGATTCTCGTCAGAATCGTGGCCACACCGCACTTTCAGAGAGGTTAGGGAATTGATATTCGCAGTCAGGGTCGCCATGAACAAAGCGGGTCATGGAGGGAGCGGGTCTTCATGGGTTTCTCGCCGTTTTTTGGTTCATGTGGCCCTTCCCAGGCCGCGGGACACTCAGGAAACGAGTCAAACTTAATACCCGCCAGTGTGGTTCCAGGTTTCGGACCCTGGGGTCAAAAAATTGAGCGCGAACTCCATACGAACCCCGCGGTCGTAGTCCAGCCCCCCACATAAGTGTTGAAACAGCAGGGCGCCTCTTCGCTGTTGTCCCAGCTGTCGTGTTCTTGTTCTCCCCGTCCGTGAAAAAGAGGATCTGCGTACAGACTTGCGGGTGTCCGCGCTGACTTCTTCAATCGGCGATGCTCCCCCTCCTGCGCTGCCCCTGGCGCGATCCGCGCGCCAGGGAGGGGACAATCCGCACGGACAGACAGATTGCATTCAAGGCCAGTTGTCTGCCCCCACCGCTCGAGTATGAGATCGACTGCAGAGTCGAGTTGTCCCAGACTTGATACGGTCGGTGGATCCAGAAAACAAATAAGTCAGAATCCCCGCAGATCTGCAATCACCCTCGGCGAAAAACAAAACTGCTGGGTTTCATCAATTCTGCAATCGATCTCCTCGCCGCCGCCACCCGCGCCGCGGCCCCCTCGCGCGCCCGCGGAGGCCCGGGGGCTGTGGGCGCAGGACCGCTTCCTGAACGGCACAGGCCAGCGCCAGGGGTTGGCGGGGGCTGGTGACTACAAAGTGTGTGGTCACGCCGGGGCGTGGTTTGCGATCGACGCCGTTGGGGCCTGGGGTCACGACAGCCCTCGTCGGGCCTCCTCGGGGCGCGTCGGAGAACTCCATCGAGGTCCCCGCCCGCTCCCCAGGGTGCCTCCAAGGGTGCCAGTTGCAAAGCAAACTCCTTGCAGAACCACACCCCTCGCAGTCTCCGAGGGGGGCGGACGATGTCGCGGCGGGCAGGGCCGTCCAAGCCAGGAGCGTGAGGGCTGAGGGCCCGAGGTTACGCAGGGGAGGGTGGAGCAGGAGATCGACTGATTGATTTTCTGTCGAATTGATCTACCTCGAATGGATTCTTTTGTCGAATCAGCGAAAAGTATCTACTGAGCGTTCTCTACATCTTTTTGTCGTAGGTTTGAGGAGGACAATTTCTTGCGTGAATCCATTCTGCAGTCGATCTCCTGCTCGAGAGGTGCGGGCACCCTGGTCGGGGCCACGGGACCTCCCAGAGCATGCCTTGGCCCCCCATGTTTTGAGTACACCCTAGGCGATGCTTAAGAAAACTTAAGTTTTCGGCCAGAGTCTCGATTATTCTTAACGTTTTAATGTAAATCTTAAGATGTTAACAGAAATGTTGGGTTTTTATTCAAGTTCTGAGACTATGAATTTCTTAACCCATGATTTCTTAAGCATTTCGCAGGGTGTATGCTCCTGGGCCGGGTCCCCTGCCTTTCTGTGGAGCTGCGCGCAGACTGGCGGCCCGGCGCAGCGCAATGCTCGCGCGGCGGTGTCGCTGGCCCCGATTCCGATGTCTAGGCGGCCAGGCGATCGTCGGCGACCCTGGCGGGGGGAAGTGGGGCAGGAAGGGCTTTCTCAGAAGGCTCGGAAGTTCCCCCGGCCTTCTGAGACGTGTTCTAAGCCTTCCCCAACACTCCCGCACACCCACACGACAGGAGTGCCAGCTGCGTGGATGGCCTCATTAACTTTCTTCTGCAGCAGGAGTGCCAGCTGCGTGGATAGCCTCACCGTGGAGCTGAGGCCGTTGCGCCCGTGCTCCTGAGTGTGCTATGCCCCCCTCGGCGCGGATGAGAAGCCGTGGCTGGGGGGCCTGAGGGGCTGCTGTCCCTTGGGGTGCCTGGGCCCGCATTCGCCGTTGGCGGTGGCCTGGGCTCGGCTGGGGCTCGCTTGCTTTTCAGCCCCCCTTGGCTCCAGGCTGAGGGGCCCAGGGTGGGGCGCGGCCTCGAGAGGGCCAGCGCGCTCTGCACCCTGGGGAGTCGGCGGGGGCGCTGCCCGCGGCTCGGCTCCCTCGGTGGCTCGGCAGGCGGCGGTCGGTCGCTCGAGAGCCCAGCGCACGGGCCTGGCGAGGTGTTGACGCCCCAGGCTGCCGACGCACCAAAGCACCAAAACACACACACGCCCGCACGCGCGCGCGCGCACGCGCACGCGCACGCGCACGCGCACGCGCACGCGCACGCGCACGCGCACACGCACACGCACACGCAGACGCACGCGCATGCACACTTCACACGCACACGCACACTCCTCAGAAGTCGCGAGGGCTTCTGAGAAGTCCCGCCGCCTTCTGGGGAGGCGATCTCCCTCTCATTTCCCCCCCTCGCTCGCCGCCGAGACGAGGCCATATGCTCGCGCAGCGTCGTCGTGTACCCCCGCCCCGTGATAGGGGTGGATCGCAGCCACCTCGGGCCGACCGTCGACCACTTCGGACCGATCACAACCAGTTGTGATCGGGCCGATGTGGTCGGGACTTTCTGGTGAAGCTGTAGTGCTGTTTTGATTCAGGGAAGGCTCGCAAGAGCGCTCCTGGATGCATTTGGTTCCCTTGTAGCCCTCAGAGGGATTCCGGAACAGCGGTTGCAATCAGGCCGATCACCGACGGGTCATTACATCCACGTTGTGCAATCTATAGTATGCAATCTATGTTGTGCAATATTTGCGGTGCAGTTTGTGGCGTTATGTGGCGCAATCCACGTGCTACAATTTACGCGGCGCGCATTGTAGGCGGTGCTATCGACGTGGTGCAATCCAATTGGTGCAATCAAGGTCGTGCTTTCTACGCGGTGAAATATCGGTGGTCCAATTGTTGTAGCGCAATCTATGGTGCGCGCTCTATTGGTACAGTGTGTGATGTGCAATCCACGTTGTGCAAGCTCAGTGCTGCAATCTAGTCTGTCCAGAGTTCCTGGTGCAATCTGCGAAGGCAATTTGTGTTGTGGAATATACGCGGCGCGACTTGTTGGTATGATCTATGTGGTGCAAGCTGGCAGCGGGCCAGCTTCCTCAGTGCAGAAGTCAGAACCTCTAAGCATCCGGGAATTCACAACAGACCCCGGTATGTATCGGTGCACACGTATATACATATGTGCATGTACATGAATCTGTGTGTGCGCGTGTTTGTGTGTGCGTATGTGTGTGTGCGTCGATGGATACGTATACTTACGCATATGTGGAGATTTGCAAAGCTTGTACGATACGTGTCGGACATCTAAGTGTATGCGCTTGTACATGTACCTCTTTTGCAACAGGCTTAATATGTATGCACCCACGTGTATGTTTATTTTCTTGTGTATTCCAGGCAGGTCCTATGGAACCCCTCGGAAACAGGAGGATTCACCAAGAAATCTTTCGGACTTTCTCGGGGTCCTCATTTCCCCACTCACTCCCGAGTGCTTTCACAGGAATGACAAGTTTTTTTCAGGAAATCCAGAGAATCCACAGAGGCCCGTAGGATCAAGCCAGGCCCGTCCCTCCACAGAAGGAATATTCAAAAATAGTCCAGCAATAGTCTGGGGGTGATGTTTTGAGTATGTTGGGTCATGTGGGGGCATTGTTTGACGGTTTTTTATGTTTCGTCCAAAAGCCACTTGTAAGTGGTCATGCCCGACCTAACCGTAGGAACAAGAATCTTTGGGAAGGAGGCAAAGCGCCTCAGCGGTGCCAGCAGCGAGGGAAGGGAGGAGTCTTTCAGTCTTCCACCTCTCCCTGGGAACGCGAGTTTCTCCAGGCTTCCTCCATGCTTCAACCATCAGGAATCCCTCAGGAATCCTTCAGGAATCCCCCAGGGATCCATTAGGAATTCTTTGGGGATCCCTCGGGAATCCCTCAGGAACCTGTTTGAGGAACCCGGAGGAATTTCCCAGGACGACCACCCCAGGAATCCATCAGGATTCCCTCAGGAATCCCCCAGGAATCTTCGAGGATCCCCTCAGGAATCCATCAGGACGCCTTCAGGAATCCCTGAGGACCCCCCCAGACTCCCTTAGGCTTTTTTGGGGGGACCTCAGGACTCCCTCGAGAATAGGAATCTTCTGGAATCCCTCAGGAATCCTCTCTAGGAGCCCTCGGGAATCCCTTAGGAATCCTCTGATAATCATATGGAGTCATTTTTAGGAATCCCTGACAACTTTTCTTGATCCTCAGGAATCCTTCAAACGCAGGGCAGATGAAGATAGCTTCCTTGGTTGTATATCGGCATGCGCGTTGTAGTATTATCGAATGGTCCTACACGTTGAGATCAGTCCCTGTCCAGTGGTTGGAATCAGTCTCAAGTGGCCCTGAACGACCCGATGTGGTTGGGATCCGGCTTCATCTCCCCCTGTCCCCCGCCTTCTCTTCGCGTCGGACAAGTGGGGGGCACTGGGAGATGAGGGGCTGCAAAATCTGTTGCGTGCAGCTGGTTCTGGCCCCGCCGCCATGCGCACTTCCTGGGCACACTGGTGCCCCCGAGCTCCCGAAAGCTCAGGGGAAGCCAGCTACATACGCAAGTTGATTCGCCAACCCGTCCGACCATGGCCTCCAGAAGGCAGGGATCGACCAACATGTTGCTTGGGACGGCCTGGTGGGCAGTTTTCGTTCCTGTGCCGTCCTCTTTCTGTTTTCGTTCTTGGGGCCATCGGGGACCGATCGCGACTGCAGAGGTGCACCACTGCACTGCTTCGTGGAATGGTCTGCAAATGTTTGCTTTCGTGCTGTTGCGCGTTACGGCGACAGCGACAATGAAACCCTTGCGCCAGAGGACCCAATTTGATTTCCACACTGGCCCGGCAGTTCGACGCTTGACCGCTACTATTTCGATTAACAATACTAATAGCACTACCTCTTCGAATGGGTACGTATTTGTTATTGATGCTAATCCCACCAGTCCTTTGGCCGTAGGTGGTTTAGCATGTTTTCTCTTCCACCTCTCCCTCTTCCCCTTCGGGGAGGAGCTTACCCCTCCCCCTGCCCCCTACCCCTGGACCTGGACGGGGCGCCCCGCGACCAATTGGAGCGTCCAAGACGGCCCAAGATGGCTCCAAGAGGGCCTCAGAGAGCCCAACATGGCTTCCAAGAAGGCGCATGATAGCTCAAGATAGCCTCCAACGTGATCCAAGGGGCTCCAAGACGGCCCCAAGACGGCTCCAAGTGGTCTGGAAGCACATCCAAAAGAGCATACAGGAGGCCAATGTCCCTCCAACATCTGAAGAATCTCAATGTGTTTTGCTGTCTCGCCATTTCGCTTCTGATGGCTTTCCGAGGCGCCACGATGGATCCACTATGGCCAACAGGGGCCCCTAGAGAGCCCCAAGAGGGCCCCAAGGCGGCCCCAAGAGCGACCAAGAGCGTCCCAAGAGCGCCCCAAGAGGGCTCCAAGGGGCGACTTTGGGGGCTCCAGGGGGGCGGCACGAATGAAAACTCCCACCTTCTTCGAGCGACCTCCTCCAATATGTCCTCAAGAGGGCCTCGAGGGCTCCCAAGAGAGCCCCAAGAGAGCACCAAGAGGCCCCCTTGAGGCCCCTCATGCGGCCCCCAAGGCGCCCCATGAGGCCTCCCAGGAGGCCCCCAAGAGACATCCCAAGAGACTCCGAGGGGCATCCAAGAGGCCTCCGGCCTTCGCTCGCCCTCCGCCTCCTCAACTGTCAATTCCGTTTACTTATCATTCCTCATCTTTCTCTTTCTCCTTCACCTTCTCTTCCTCCTAGTCCATGTATTCCTCCGTCTTCCTCCTCCTCCTCCTGCTCCTCCTCCTCCCCCTCCCCCTCTCTTGCCCCTACACCTTCATTGATCACTCAACTCTCCTGGATAGGCTGCTGGGGATACGTGAGGTGTCCACTGGTTTCTACTGGAGGAAAAATCGTATGCACTCGATCATCCTGTCATCACTACGAACGCTACGACGAACAGCGTTGTTTCGTCGACCCTTGCCGGGTGGGGAGGGGATCGACTACCAAAAGGCGGCATGAGCATCGACGAATGGAGGTCCACACGCCCAACGACAGCCCTCAAGATCCAGAGCATTTCCAAAATGCTCGGGACTCCGAAGAGGGGGGGGGGCCATTCCCTGGCTCCCGCAAGGCGGTCCTCAGCCGTCTCCTGGGGTGCGCACCGAGCAGGATTTCGAGGGGCACCCGGCCATGGCCACGGGGGCGCCTCGTGAGGTCCAGACGTTTCTGGGGTAGCCTGGAAGCTCTAGCAGCGACCCTCGATGTCTGGGCCCGTGGTGCCCGTGGTCCCAAGCTCTGAACCCGCGGCTGCCCACAGTCTGCATGGAGTTCAAGGCTGAGCGGTTTTCCAAGGTTACCTTTGCATCCGCCCCACTCGGCCCGTTCTTGGCCGCTCTCACTGGCCGCGCCCCGCTCGAAGAGTGTTGTCATAATCTTCCGAGGCCCTTGGGCCTTCCGAGGCCCTTGCACCTTTGTCTCGCACAGTGCAGCCAACCCGCACAGCAAGGATGGGCAACCTTGCCAAGGGTAACCTTGCATCCGTGCCTCCTCGGTCCATCCGGGGCCGCTGATGCTGGCCGCCCCCCGCCCGCGAAGTGTCGACATGGCCTTCCAAGGCCCTTGCTTTTCAAAAGGGGCTCGGTCGTTCCTCAGGCTTGCATGCGTTTTTTTATCGTTCCTCGTGCGCTGTCTGCTATTGCGCAGGCCTTACGGCCTGTGCCGCCGACCCTGGAGGCCACTAATATGGAAACGCGGGGCGGGTGGAGGAGGAAGTGGAGAGGTAGGAAAGGTGGAGGAGGCAGTTGAGGGCCGCTTGGGAGTCTCTGGGTGGCCTCTTGGAGCTTCCTGGGGGTCTCTTGTGAGCCTCTTGGGGCTTCGCGGGGAGCTTCTTAAGGGCCTATGGGGGCCTCCTGGAAGCTTCTGAGGCCGAGGGCTCGAAATGTCCGGTCGAGTCTCCAGTCTGGGCTCTCTTGGAGCCGTCTTGGGGACCTTTTGGGCTATCTTGGAGGCGTCTTGGGCGATATTGGGGCGGTCTTGGGGGCCCTTAGCCTGTCTTGGAGCTTCGGGAAGCTGACAAGGCGAGAATGCCCAAATATTTCAAAACCAAAGAGGAAGAAACATACATACATACATACATACATACATACATACATACATACATACATACATACATACATACATACATACATACATACATACATACATACATACATACATACATATATATACACACACGTGATTGTTGCTTCTTGGGGCCCTGTTGGGAGTGCCCTTGGATTGGGAACTTCGAAGCTGTCTGGAGGCTATCGCGACTTGACCGATACTTCGGCGATTCGGGGCCCTCGAGGGCAGTCTTGGGAACCTCTCGGAGCACTTTTGCTACGTCTTGAGGATTGTCTGGGCTCCCGAACCGCCCAGAGGGAGTCGTATCTGACCCGGGACCCCCCCGGGACCTCCCCCAGGACCCCCCCTGGGCCCCCCCCCGGGAAGGGATCAAAGGGAAGGGGCTTCCCTTCGACTCAACTACAGCGCTGGTCAATTTTGCTGTTGCTGGCGCGCTCGAGGAGGAGGGCCCGGTGAAAGTGGAGGCAGCGGCGCCAGGCTCAGGGCAAGGGAGGGGACCGGCGACGGCGACAGCGACGACGACGACAACGACCACGACGACGACGACGAGGACGAGTCAAACGGAACAGCCTCTTCCCCACGCCGACAGGGTCGGCGGATTTATCGCTCTTTGTGCGTTACTCCTTAGAAAAAGGGGCTTCGTCCCTTGTGCATCGTTTCTTAGGTCACCCTATCGTGCGTCCTTGTTCTGCGGGCTGACTGCGCCTGCGCGCCGACTGTGCTCCAGGCCGCCGCAAGTTCGACCTGCGCGGCTGCGGGGCCGCGAGCCCGGCGCTCCCTCGCCGCGCGAGGCCCGGGGGCCGACGGCGACGCCGACAGTCGGGCGCTGCGTGATGGGGGGGAGACACCGACGGGCCGATGTTTCACCACCACTACCAGAGGTAGGAGAGGGAGGAGGAGGAGGAGGAGGAGGAGGAGGAGGAGGAGGAGGAGGAGGAGGAGGAGGAGGAGGAGGAGGAGGAGGAGGAGGAGGAGGAGGAGGAGGAGGAGGAGGAGGAGGAGGAGGAGGAGGAGGAGGAGGAGGAGGAGGAGGAGGAGGAGGAGGAGGAGGAGGAGGAGGAGGAGGAGGAGGAGGAGGAGGAGGAGGAGGAGGAGGAGGAGGAGGAGGAGGAGGAGGAGGAGGAGGAGGAGGAGGAGGAGGAGGAGGAGGAGGAGGAGGAGGAGGAGGAGGAGGAGGAGGAGGAGGAGGAGGAGGAGGGAAGGAGGAGGAGGAGGAGGAGGAGGAGGAGAGGAGGAGGAGGAGGAGGAGGAGGAGGAGGAGGAGGAGGAGGGGGGAGGGGAGGGAGGAGGAGGAGGAGGAGGAGGAGGAGGAGGAGGAGGAGGAGGAGGAGGAGGAGGAGGAGGAGGAGGAGGAGGATGAGGAGGAGGAGGAGGAGGAGGAGGAGGAGGAGGAGGAGGAGGAGGAGGAGAGGAGGAGGAGGAGGAGGAGGAGGAGGAGGAGGAGGAGGAGGAGGAGGAGGAGGGGGAGGAGGAGGAGGAGGAGGGGAGGAGGAGGAGGAGGAGGAGGAGGAGGAGGAGGAGGAGGAGGAGGAGGAGGAGGAGGAGGAGGGGTGGCCTCCCATCCTCCCTCCTCCCCCGTTCTGCCTGTGGTGAGCGGTGGTGGGAAATGGGCCCCATCGTACATGTGGCGGGGGCGAAGCAGGGTGCACCTTTGGTGCCCTCAAGGGCCCCCCTGGGGCCCAGAACGGCCACGGACGGGCACGCTTCCCCCCCCCATCCATATCGCCCCCATATCCTTTCCTCCTCCTCCTCCGTCTCCTCCTCCTCCGTCCTCTCCTCCTTCTCCGTCTCCTCCTCTCCTCTCCTCCTCCTCCTCCTCCTCCTCCTCCTCCTCCTCCTCCTCCTCCGCCTCCTCATCCTCCTCCTCCACGCTGGACAACGTCGACGACGATGACGTCCGCGTCCATGCCGACGTCGACGTCATATCGAACCGGAGCGCGTCGGTGTCGACGCCGTGTCGTCATCGAAGCGGAGCCCTAACCCCCACCTAATTACCCCAGGGTTCACGACGCCGTCGCTGTTGTGGTCGGATCACCGAGCGCGTTCCACTGCTCGCAAAGTGCCTACTCGCAAACGCCCGAAAAGCGTATGTCTGCTCCAATATACTTTATCGTAGATCTCCCGAGGCGGATCCAGGCCATTTGCGAGTAGCTACTATGCGAGTAGTGAAAAGAGGTCGTCTATCGGAGTCGTTCTCGTTCCACCCGTCCCCAGCGGTCGTCGCTCCGTGATCTTCTGGATGCCGAGGCTCTCTAGGTGGCGTCTGTTCGGGCGGGCTCAGGTGCAGGATACATCGCTCTGGAACGGCCGCGGCGCCCGACATGATGGGCCTGTTTTCCACCACCACCACCACCAGAAGTTGGAGGGAAAGGGGGTCCTCCTCCTGCTGCTGCTCCTCCTCCTTCTCCTCTCCGTCCTCCTCCTCCTCCTCGTCCTCCACCTCCTTCCTCCCTCCAACTTGTGGTGGTGGTGGTGGAAAACAGGCCCATCAAGAACCGCCAGATCTCAGAGCTGCCCGATTTGCCCGGGTCCGATTTTGTCCGGGTTGCCGTTCAGAGGCCCTGCATTCCAGAGGGCCTCTTCTTTGGCCTCCGCAGACCTTCCAGGTCCTCCAGAGAGATCTCCCGCTGGCTTCGAACACTCTTGAGGTCACAGGCGCTAAGTTCTGGTGCCTCGATGTGCCCCAAGACTTCAGAATGATTGAGGAGGAGGAGGAGGAAGACGAGGAGGAGGAGAAGGAAGAGGAGGATATCAGGAGGGTCAGGAGGGATCACGGGGGACAGGGGTCTGAAATTTCGAAGTGTGAAAAACATGTTCACACCTGCCCATACTCCCCGCCTGGCCAAGGGGGGCTGGGTGCTCCAATGCTCCACAACAGTTTTCAAGCATGCGTGCCTGCGCAGGAGGAAGAGGCGGAGGCGGAGGATGAGGAGGAGGAGGATGAGGAGGAGGAGGAGGAGAGGCATCAGGAATAGGAGGAGCAGTAGGAGTAACTCAGAAGCAGGATGATGATCAGGTGGAGGAGGAGAAGGATCAGTATGGTATTCAGGGCAAGGAGGAGGAGTAGAGGGAAGATGATGATTAATCGAAAATCGAGACAACCAGCTGAAAACTTCGCTTTCCCGTTGCCCAGTAGCACCCACCGTCATGCTCCTCGTCGTCGCCGTCGTCGTCGTCGCCATCGTCGCCGATTTGTCGCGGAGCCCCCGGGAGGTCCCTCGCTGCGCGCCCGACCTTCGTGCCGCCCCACGAGCGGCGGCGCGACGCTCTGCGCGCGGAGGTGCACCGGCAGCTGCTCCAGCCGCCGTTCCGCTGACGCGGGCCCGTTGCCTCGTCGAGAGGAAGCACAGCACGCTGGTTCGGTGGCAAACGTTGGTAGCCTTGCGTGCCGTTTGAAATCCGTCGATTAACGTCGAGTGACGTCGAGCAGCGTATGGTAATCGGTGAGATAGCGCCGATGTAGCGTCGATTGGCGTCGGTCAGCGTCGGCCAACACGATGGTAGGGGAGGCTTCTAGGAGTTGCTTCCGAACGACGGCCATGGCCAAGACCCCTTCGAGTCATGACAAAATGACGGGGGGAGGCTTCTCTCTGTTTTCGGCCTCTGGTGGCCCTCACTGGACCCTGGGGGCGTCAAACAATGACTTAGGATGACAAACCGTTCCCAGGGACTGGGTCGAGACTCTGGGGGGTCGACGCTACGACAATTTCACGACGTCGGCGGGCTGGTACACACGATGGCCATGGCCAAGGTCGAAGAAAAACAAAAAGGCACAAATCTCAACTGTCGGAGCTCTGCGCGGATTTCTTGGATCTGCGCTGGGGTCCCCCCTGGCGGCGCCTCGGAAGCCGCCCCTGGCGCGCTCCGCGCTCCAGGGCGGGGGTCCAGCGCAGATCCAAGAAATCCGCGCGGAGCTCCAGAAGTTTACGTGTATGCCTCTGCTTGTTGCTCTAACGATGGCCAAGGTCAAGGGAGTCGCGGGATCTTGCCGATGAAGATCTTGGCCGCGGTCCACGCCGGCCGCCGCCGCTCTGGCGAGCAGGATCCGCGCATTGCCAATAGGACCAAGGTGGAGGGTGACCAGAATGGACGCTAGGACCAAGATGGACGGTGACCAAGATGGACGTCTCGCCGATACAGTCATGGCGCTGAAATACGGTTCAGTTCTTGTTCGGAAGGGGCTCGGTGGCTCTGTGGGTATGCTTGTGGATCCTGGGAATTCAACCAGGGAGACCCCTGGACGTTGCCCGTGAGGGGAGGTGTCACTTGCGAAGCGGGAGGCAACAACGAGGGAACGTCTCCAGAAAGGCGCTCGGCCGCTCCCTGGACGTCTACTACCCGATCTTGAAAAACATGGGCTTCGTTCCTCATTCAGCGTTCCGTCGGGCACTGCCATGACTGCAGGACCAAGACGGGCGGTGACCATCAGCGGCGCCGGCGCTCCCGCTCTGTCCGTCCTGGCGCCTGATGTCGGGCCTGTCCCTCTACAGGAGGAACGTTCAACAATCGTAGACAAACATAGTTTTGGGGCGATCTGTTTTGATTTTTTTTGTTCCCGCCCTGTCTCCCCAATTGGTGCTTCGCGCGCCCCGCCTAGCTCTTAAGCGGAAGGGGCCCGCTCCCGACCCGCCGACCCAAAAAACGTTTTGATTTCTTCTGTTGTGCATACTTTTGGAGCATTGTTTGATTTTGTTTTCCATCCAGAATCCCCCGAAGGGGGCGCAGGACCGACCTGATCATGGCCGTGGCCCTCGTCTTCCTCTTCCCCTGGGGACGATTTGTTCTGATTTTTTCTGTTGTGCATATGTTTGGAGCATTGCTTGAAGTTTTTTTTTCCACCCAGAATCCCCCCGAAAGGGGGGGCAGGACCGACCTGATCCTGGCCGTGGCCCTCGTCTGCTTTGATGTTTGTTTGTGGTGCATATGTTGAGGAGCATTGCTTGAATGTTTTTTTTTCCATCCAGAATCCCCCCAAAGGGGGGGCAGGACCGACCTGATCCTGGCCGTGGCCCTCGTCTGCTTTGATGTTTGTTTGTGGTGCATATGTTGAGGAGCATTGCTTGAAGTTTTTTTTTCCATCCAGAATCCCCCCGAAGGGGGGGCAGGACCGACCTGATCCTGGCCGTGGCCCTCGTCCTCCTCCCCCCCCGGGCGCGCGCGCGCGCGGAGAGCGGGCGCCGGGCGGCCGCGCCGAGGGGCCGGGCGCCCCGTGCTCGGGGCACGAGGCGCCCGCGCTCTTCGGGCCGGACGAGAAGGGGAGGAATTGGGATGGTCGTCGTGGGCCTTCCGATCGGCAATCCGACAGGCAGTTCCGCCCACGGGATCGACAAAGAGTGAGCCAGCCACGCGCAGAGGGGGGCTGGGGGGAGGGGGGAGGGCGTCTTGGAAGCACCGCTGCCTCTTGGAAGGCGCCGGCCTTCTCTGCAGATGTAAGGCCGGCGCAGCCTCCTTCTAAGCAGCCTTCCCTCCTCCCTCCATCCCTCGGGCCGGACGAAAGGAGGGCATTGGGAAAGGGGGGGGGGTACGAAATCTGCTGCATGCAGCTGGTTTCGGCCTCACCGAGAGGTCCCTTCCTCGATGCATGGCCGCCTCCGGCGCCGGGAGGCGCCGGGAAAGTCAGCTATAGTGAGCCATGATTCTCACCCCCCCCCCGTTGCCATCCCCCCCTTTCGCCCGACCCGAGCTCTGTACAGTTCTCTCGGGGCATCGCTCGTGTCACGGCGCCAGCATCGCAATTTCGTTTGGAGAACGATGGGGTGGGCCCAGGGTGTCCTGGAGAATCTCGCTCCGGATTTCGAGGTGAGTTTCGTGCGGACTTGTTTTGGCCAGGAGTGAGGGCCAAAAAGAATCCACGCGAGATTCACGCCGTTTTTCGCTCGCCGCTTCGAGCAAGGATCCACGCAGAAATCTGCTGCAGCACGTCTGCAAGGCCGGTGCAGTGAGAAGTCATGGGAGCCCGGGGTACCCTGTGGATGGCGTCGTTCACGTCGATTAGCATCGATTAGCGTCTGAGAGTCGATGCGCCAGCGCCGGTTTAGCGTCGATTCGCAAGAGCCGACAAGACGGCATGGGAGGCTCCCATGAGTTGCCTCTGCACGCTCGGACGTCTGCACTTGTCGAAGGGAAGAGCGACTGCAGAATTGATTCACCGCAGCATTGAAGTTCCCGTCGGATCGACGAAACATCAATTTGTTGGGGCAGCGCAATTCCGTCACTGGTGGATCCCCTGCTCGAGCAGTTCTCTCGACATCGCTCGGACGTGTGCCTCTTGGTCCCCGGCGAGGCCCGTCGAGGAGCCTCTTGGACCACCCAGCGAAAACGAGACAGGCGCACGAGGAACCGCAGGATGCACGGGGCACGGGAGCCCGTTCTCTGCACAGTCCCGTGGGCCGCCGGCGCGCCGCCGCTTCGCCTCCATGGCGGCGGCGCCCGCGCCGAGAGGCGCCGCGCGTTTTTTTGCGAGGGCCCGGGCGTCGGGGGTGGACAGAACCCCCAACAGTGACACGTCGATTAGTGAATTGTCCGTTTTCGGTTTTCGAGAGGGCGCCGTGGCCGTTATTTTCCAGGCTTGCGCCCGCCAGGTTTGGGCCTCAGGTCGTTTTCACTAAACCACGTTTTACTAAAGGGGGGTCTGTCCATCCCCGAGGGCGGCAGCTGCCACCCCAGTGCTGCCACGAGGCGCCCGCGGGGGGGGAGCCTCGGAGAAAAGGAGCGCAGCAGCCACGCGCGGATGGAGCCCCGGGGTGAAGTCCGGCCCGTCCTTCTACAGGAAGGGTATTCAAGAATATTCAAAACATAGTTTGGGGACGATTTTGTTTTTTGCATTTTTTGACCATTTGGGGTATTTTTGGGGTATTTTGGACTTGTTCTCGAAAATCTGCCTGTAGGGGGACAGGCCCGACCTGAGGGGAGGGAGGGAGGGCTTCTTTCGAAGAGGAATCAGCGGCGTACAATCGAGGCTGACTAGCAGGTCGGCCCTGCCAAGCCAAGAGTGCCTTCGTGCCCTGCGTTTCGCGACCCATGCCGTCTGCATTCCTGTGGCAATGCGGCCCTCGCGAGGGTACTGTGTCCTCTCGCGTGTCCTCTCCAATGCGCCCCGACTGTAAACATACACTGTTGGTGCTCCGCGCGGATTTCTTGGAGCCGCGCTGGGCGGCCCCGGCGGCGCCTCCGGCGCCGCCCTTGGCGCGCTCCGCGCGCCAGGGAGAGGGGTCGTTCAGCGCAGGTCCAAGGAATCCGCGCAGCGCGCCAAAAGTTTATGCTTACGGTGTTTTTGTCCCTCTAGTCTGAGACGCACCCCTGCTCCTCAGAAGGCGCGGGCCTTATATCTGTAGATGCAAGGCCGGCACCTTCTACGAAGCAGCCGGCTTCTAAGGAGCTTTCCCCCTCCCTCCACCCCCATTGGGCGCACCGCCAAGCAAGCGCCGCCTCGGCTGGAGGAGCAAAGCTCAGCGGAGCAAGGGGTCATGATAATGACATGTTCCACCATTTCCAGGATTTCCCCGAAGCCCTTCGGTTCCACAGGGGCTGCAGAAACGAGGGCCGCTAGATAATTACTCTGGAATCCTGGAACGTATCCTGAGCCACTTACATCATGACATCATTCCCGTCCTAGACGTGGGTGCAGCGAGGCTGGCGGCGAAGACCGGCAGAAGCTCCTGCCCACTCTGCGCAGGGCTGGCTGCACGTCGCCGCGGGCCGCACGTCGTTCGCATTGCTTCCTGCAGCCAGAGATGGCGGGCTTCCAGATGCCGGACGGGGTTAGGACGAGGACCGATGCGTTCACGAGCGTCCTGGAACCTTCATACACTTTCCCGAGCCGCCGAATCGGAGACATGTTCGATTTATCCTCACCCGATGTTCTCCTCGTCCTGGCTTCGTCTCAAGATGTGTTAGGCCAACAACCGAGGGCCCGTCGGTTGATGGCCCTGGCGATCGGGGGTGGGCGGGCCTTCGGATGTCGGAGGCCCCAGGGTCACGTTCAGCAGGCCTGCTTGCGCGGGGCCGCGGTGTCGTGGACCCCCTTGCGACTACAGCCAACGCGCCTAGCAAGGACGCGCGCCTTCACCCGGGGTGCCGTTGTGTCCTTGCCTCCGCGGGTCGTTTTGTTGCCGTTTTCAGCGGCCGCCCGCCGCTCTCATGAAAATCCCACGCCCGGCCTCCAAGGATTTTGCGCCCTGGCCACCCGTACCTGATACGCGTTTTGCTTGTGGCGTCGACGGCGCCCCGCAGGCTTCGGTTGGCGACGAAAGAGCAGGCTCAGGAGGGCAGTGCACGACACGAATGCAAGTTTCGATGTTGAGGGTTCCCCCGCAG